AAAAAATGTGGAACCAAAAAATTAATAGACATATTTATTTGTTAAATAGTAGATAATTCAAAAAAAAAAAACTGCAGAAACATTGTGTTTAATGTTTTTTTTTTTTTTTTTTTTTATTAGAAAAACAAAAGACCGCGGCAGCTATGGCCATTGGTCAGACAGTGACTAAAATAAATTACATAGCTACATATTTACATACATTTTTACAATATACAGGTTATATTTCTTTGAATAAGGTAGATTTTTTTAGAAAAATAAATAATTTTTGAGTTGCGGTTGGTTCCGGGCTGAGGATTTCGTGTAAGTGGGATTTTAATGTTTATGTAAGTTGGTGGCCCTGAAAAGGGCCGTTTTAGAAAAGTGATAAGTTTATTAATTTAAGCACGTTCACCACGAATACGACGAGCCAATTGGATGTCCTTTGGCATAATCGTGACACGCTTGGCGTGGATAGCGCACAAGTTGGTGTCTTCGAACAGACCGACCAAATACGCCTCGCTAGCCTCTTGCAACGCCATGACGGCGGAACTCTGGAAACGCAAATCGGTCTTGAAGTCCTGGGCGATCTCACGGACCAGACGTTGGAACGGCAGTTTGCGGATCAACAGTTCCGTGCTCTTCTGGTAACGACGGATCTCACGGAGAGCGACAGTTCCCGGACGATAACGATGGGGTTTCTTCACTCCTCCGGTAGCGGGTGCGCTCTTACGTGCGGCTTTGGTAGCCAACTGTTTCCTCGGCGCCTTGCCTCCGGTCGATTTACGTGCTGTTTGCTTGGTACGAGCCATTGTACGTTTGTTTGAAGGTCTGTTGGTTTAGCGTCAATATACCTATTAAACTGTATGCTATCACGATTAAAAATTCTCCAGTATTTATACACGTTACGGGAATACATCCGTTCGTCTCATTGGTCTATACGCTGTTATGAGTATAAAGGTGGGAGAAATCCGACCGCGCATTTCGATTGGCCGGGAGTGCATAGTATAACGTATAAATATAACTGTTCTCGTCGAATGTGGCATCAGTTAACGTACATCTCTCGGAGTTTCAATTCTCTCTACGCGAAACTACTAAAATTCAACATGACCGGACGCGGTAAAGGAGGAAAAGGTCTTGGCAAAGGAGGCGCCAAACGTCATCGTAAAGTATTGCGTGACAACATCCAGGGAATCACCAAGCCTGCCATTCGTCGGTTAGCTCGTCGTGGAGGAGTAAAACGTATTTCTGGCTTGATCTACGAAGAAACCCGTGGAGTGTTGAAAGTATTTTTGGAAAACGTAATCCGTGACGCCGTAACATACACCGAGCACGCCAAGAGGAAGACCGTCACCGCCATGGACGTAGTCTACGCTCTTAAACGTCAAGGCCGCACTCTGTATGGTTTCGGAGGTTAATTTATGCAGTTAGCAATATAATTTTACCCGCATTAAAACGGCCCTTTTAAGGGCCACCAACTCTTACTTAAAAATTTTCGAACACCCCAAGGAGTACGTTAACTGAAAATAAATATAATTTTGCATGATTATTGATTATCATCTCTACACCAAGTTAAGACATCTCATAAGGCGAAGCACGTAGACCAAGATCGAAACCTCGCCACTACATGATAATCAACCCAAAATGCTACTTAATTTAAAAAAAGATTCCTCCTCACCATAACGAAGCACTACGACGACTAACAGCGAAATAAGTTCAAATCTCATTATAGCAAATGTCCTCTCTTATCTCAACAAACAAACTAAAACACCTCATATATAATGTAAAGGCATAGCCTGATGCTCTCGATAGGCCATCGGCCGACTAATTAAGGCTAATTACAAATTTATCAATCGCTGCGTACACGCACTATTTGTAACACAAACCATAACCTAACGCCTTTATGTCCACACGTCTATTGCTATTATGCGTCTACGTTACGTTACAAGTATGTACGTAGCTGACGAAATATAGAATATTTTTCAAAGGTACAAATCTACGAATACTTCTTTAATATTTCTTATAATTGTTATCTCTTTCCTTATTTATACACTAAATACATATTTATTGTATAGCCCGAAAATGCCTTACCTATTCCCATTATATAAACTCTTATTCCATTTGTGATATTAACCATATTCTTTTCTTTTGTATTATTGTTCTTTTTATGTTACTACTTATGTATTTATATTTAATTATGTTATTTTTCTTTTTAATTTTGTTTTTAAATTTCTTTATAAACATTTTTATGTAGTTTTGTTCATTTATTTGTAATTGTTGTGTTGTAATGTTTAAAATAAAAGCAATAAAAAAAAAAACTCTTATTATCACTGTCCTGTGTTCTAATCCAATTATCTATGATGTTGATACATTATTATAACTTATAACGAATATATTTTTAAGCATTTTAGACGATTTATAAGTCTATTTACACATTCACAATAAATTTCTGAAAAATAAATAAATATATATTCATTGCAGTGCTTGTATGACGACGATGACAGTGCCTATACACTCGTATCAGGCGTTTGCCAATGATGAGTAAGATAATAGACGATGAATTAACAAAACGCAGCGTACAAAGTTCGAAAATTAATTTATTGTGATTTAAAGGAATATAATATGATAATATTTAATCAATGGAATTATTTCCATGAACTTTGAATTATATATAATTAAGAAAAGATGACGGATGATAAACGTGATATAATAGGTATGATGAATTTTTATGACTTCCTACACCAGGAACTCACAACAATAAGTGTTCACTATAGTTAGTCTGACTACTATTTAATTTTTAAATGGTGGCCCTGAAAAGGGCCTTTTTAATAAATAATCTAGTGACAGTAAAGTTTTAGACTTTCTTTTCGGTCTTTTTAGGCAAAAGAACGGCTTGGATGTTGGGCAACACACCGCCTTGAGCGATGGTAACACCGGACAACAATTTGTTCAACTCCTCGTCGTTTCTGATGGCCAATTGCAAGTGTCTGGGAATGATACGAGACTTCTTGTTGTCACGGGCGGCGTTACCGGCCAATTCCAAGACTTCAGCGGCCAAGTATTCCATGACGGCGGCCAGGTACACGGGTGCTCCGGCTCCGACGCGTTCGGCGTAGTTTCCTTTTCTCAACAGACGGTGGATACGACCGACCGGGAACTGGAGTCCGGCACGGGACGACCTGGTCTTGGATTTGCCTCCCTTCGATTTTCCTGCTTTGCCTCTTCCGCTCATGTTTGTTGTTTTGTGTCGTTTTATGACTGTTTCAGACCGTACTCGAACGCTTAATGATACCGTAGTGGTGAAGCATGTCGGCTTATATAGACGATAACTGAAAAACAACTCTGCGATTGGACAGATAAAAACGTTGTGACGATACTACGGCACACCGTTTGCTACGTCAATACTACTAAACGATGTCGTTTTTAATGAACAAAACGGTGTTGTTTGTGCGCGGAAAAACTACTATTGTCTACGACGACGTTGCACTGTTGAAATTAGTCTGTTCCGTTACATTTATGACGTTTGAGCCAATGAACTGACGACGTATGGTCTTTGGTTGATAATATATACAATCGGTTTTCATTGACCGCCATCATTCATCTCGTACGTTCTCTCAATCGTCGACGCACAACCCCGTAATACTCTCAAAATGGCTCCAGGAGGAAAATCCGCAGGCAAGGCTATGAAGAAGTCCGGCAAGGCGCAAAAAAACATCACCAAGTCCGACAAGAAGCGCAAGCCAAAGAGGAAAGAATCGTACGCCATCTACATCTACAAGGTGTTGAAACAAGTGCACCCCGACACCGGCGTCTCCTCGAAGGCCATGAGCATCATGAACAGTTTCGTCAACGATCTGTTCGAGCGCATCGCCGCCGAATCCAGTCGTCTGGCCCACTACAACAAACGGTCGACCATCACCAGCCGGGAAATCCAAACCGCCGTCCGTCTCTTGTTACCCGGTGAATTGGCTAAACACGCCGTCAGCGAGGGAACAAAGGCCGTCACTAAATACACCAGTTCCAAGTAGATTTCTCCCGCGATCCGCTTGTCAATAAAACGGCCCTTTTCAGGGCCACCACTTTTATATTAATTTATTTCTAACTTTTTTTTAACTCTGCGTTAATAAAATTGTTAAATAATTATTCATAGTAAGTAATCGCATATATCTATACAGCGTTGATTACGTCAATTACTGATGGAGTCATGTTAATCTCTTATATTTTATCAATAACTGCCATTAATTAAGGTAAACTTATAAACAACTGACTTTGTAAAGACTAGCGACTACGAAATAAACGTTGCATCGTCGAAAATACTCTCAATATCGATAATATTATAACGAATATCAACGTCCCTAAAGCGCTTAGTTAAATAATTTAGAACCATTAAATGTCCAATGTAGCTACTTCAGATTTTAAGAAGCTGGATGAAATGGCTTTTCTAACGTGATAAATGTCCCATTTTCGCTCACCTCATAAACTCTAGGTTAGAACTCCTGCTTCGGTTTTTCGCGGTGTAAATGGATGATCAAATATTCTGGTTTTTGAGGTTAAATATTAATTTTTAATATAATAGCAAAAAAATATATATATATTATAGAGCTTCTTTACCATAACGCACTACAACTAGAATAATTTTATGATTCAGAACACATCTTTAAATTTTTACAAGATTATAATAAGTACATAAACACTTTCCTAGATGATTTATTTAATAAAACACCCCGTAAATTTAGATACTATAATAAATATTATACACAACAAATTAATTGAATACATTTTTCATTTAAATGTCTTCCTAGATTTCTATTTATCGTAGTATTTATTTTTTAATAACTTTATACAACGCTTTATCTTTATTTACTCATGAGCTGTGTAATTTGGTAAGTACAAATAATTTTAAGATATTTCTTAATTATTGTATTTTAGTCTTACTGAATGAAAGCGAACATTCTTCACAAACCGATTTAGTCTCTGCAGTTAAGGTTGTTTTAAATAAAGGTCCACATTGCAGCATAGGCTACAACAATCATATAGGAATACATTTAGTGGGTCATTGCATTGAGTTACAAACATTTTTTAGTAGCTTGGATACTTGAGTTCTGTAGAATACTATTTCCTCCACAAACCAAAGGTTTACACAGCTCTATACAGCTCAATGTTAAACAAATTTTAAAACTTCATAACAGACCTACTATTAAAAAAAAATTATAATTTTAAATTAAATTCCTTCAAACTGGATTATTGGTTATTTTAATACCAAATGGATGAAAACAGAAACATTTTATGAATACATTGCACACATATTTCACGCGTTTATCATTGAAGTACCTATGTACACAGTTGTCAGTTTTGCTGTTTGTTGACTTCCACAAATACTATTTATTTTTAGAATCATTTTTATTTCACTTTATTAAAATTCTACCAGAATATTACTACCTGCTGATGATGTTTCTGTCTTTTCGCCACTTAAAGTTGGCTGGAAAAATTGTTTCTTTGAAATTAGTATAAACATAATATTTTAAAAATGTAACAAAAAAATAAATATATCAATCCCATTTTTAATCAATAAACTGTTAATCTACAATTTAAAAAATTGTATTAAAGGTTATAAGCCCGCCCTATCGCTGGAATCCTTATCAGATCAATTTTAAAAAATGTCTTAAGAAACATGACAATAAAAATATTTCTATCTCTAAGAATTCAAATTTAAATTTGTTTTGTAATACTGATAAAATTGCAATATCTAGAAAACTTTCAGCTTTTTTTTAATTACATAATTCACTCAAAAACGAAAATAAAAATATAAATGTACCAAAGAAAACCTTTATTCAATTAAAATTGAACTTGAGCCCCTGAGTTGAAAACTTCTATCACCTAACTATTTAGTTAGTCTGACACTGTACTAGTCAAAATAAGAACCTCAGATAAAGTAGTTAAGTACAGCCAATTATATAAAATACATTTTATATTATTATACTCGTATTTTACTTTATTCATTATTCTCAAAATCAAGTTAATACATTTTCAAAGAATTTTTACATCAATAACTTTTTGAATTTAACCTACTTTTATAATCTATCAATGATTTATGCTTAATCTTTTCTAAATAATTTTCATCATAAATATTTAGTCCATTATTTAAATTATTTTATCTCCTGTAATTTGGCAAAATTAGTTATGAAGGAATGATAATAAATAATGATAGATAGTGAAAAAAGGTAAAAATATTTTTTAAAACAAAATTATCATTTAAATAAATATAAAGAACAAACATCTACAATAAAAAATGATATTTCTTATATCCATAAATTAAAAATTATACAACAAAATTTAAATAATAACTTTTTTTTTTTTAAAAACCAAAGAAATATTTTTGATTAATTTTATTATTAAGGAGGATATACAACAAGTAATTATCATTTATAAGTCATCCTTAAAAACAAGAGTACCAATTTTTAAACAACATCTATAAGCTCAAATTAATTTTAAACAATTAGATTAAATTTTATGACTTAGATGGTGTTTATATTTTTCATTTAATTAATATAATTAACAGAATGTTTTAAAATAAAACAAGATAATAGTTTAATATGTATTTTATAATTCTGTAAAAGTCAATAAAATTTTTTATTTTTTGAATCAATTACTAATAATACTAATAACAGTATATAACACATGATTGGTAATATTATTATCATGCCATATAAATATATTGTATCATAAATTCATAATAACTTACATGACTAGTGAACATGTTTTAAGAGTTCAGTCAATGTGTATAATATCTTCAATGTATATCGGTAAAGCAAAACTAGTTTTAAATCAACTCAAATTTTATTGGAAAATCGGAAAAAAAAACAAGAAATAATAGTAATATCATATCTTTGTTTACATAATGGATTATACCACACAAAATATACCTAATGCTAAATGGCTGTCAAACTGCAACACCATATATTACATATAATTCACTTGAGATGATCGAACAGGTCTTTTGCGATGCATTTATCGACAACTTCCAAAAAATCCCAAAGCTCTTCAACACAGGTTTCAGCTGTTTCTTTTTTAGAGTTTACTCGAGTGTTACACTCTTGCAATTTGGCAAATCGTTCTTGCGCTTCTTTTTCTTGTTCACACTTAGCCTAAAAGAAGCATAGAACATTAATATATAAGTGTCATAGTAGTTTAGTATCATTGAACTTACCCTCAAAACCTTGGCTGGGTCGACTAGTTCTTCTTCGGCCTTAACAACGCCGAAAGGAGACTGCACGAAATTGGACAGTGTTTCTCTTATACTGGCGAACAACATCCTGAAACAAATTAAATGTCCGTCATTAACGATAGTGGTTACTCGCGTTGACCTTTAGGAAAGACGTCTCTGTCGAATGCGTCAGTCACATGTGTCATTAAAATGAAAATCAATAAAAAAAAAGATACTTACTTTTAATGGCTGATTTTTGAGTTGACAAAAAGATAGACAGAATAAGTAAATTATTCGTGGCGAAACGAGGTCGGAAAAGGGTCTACGGAGTCGATCTTTCGGCTTTGAAAAGAAATCTCTGAAGTCGGCAATCAGTTTTCCAAACAGCTGCGGCCGCCCAGCTTATCGGGCACGCTGGACTCGTGGAAGAATAAACGTCGATATCTTTAGTGCTCAACCCGGCCATAGAAGAAACGCGTGATAATAAATACGATAAATTCACTACGTCGATAACAAATAACAATGTGGACACGGTAATGTTTGATAATGATAATAAATATTAAAATTAAGTATTAAGTATTAACATGAAAATTAAATAATAAACATTTAAATAATTCTTATAGATTGCCAACACCACATAATATTCTATACCCGAACGATTAATTACGAATTCGAACATTGCAAACCATTTAAATAATATATTACTATTCATCGAGGAATCTTTGTCCGGGTTTTCGAATCTTATTCACTACTAATCGTCGACGTTCTGTATCGGCGCGATGTGACATATCGTTTTCGGTTCGAATTTTTGATTCCTTAAACAAAACGATGGAGTCCTCCTCGTCGGGTTACCAAAACCTGGATGAATCTGATCGTAGGATCAGCAATGTCTTCGCCGCTAAGAAACAAGCGCAAGACTTTGAAATGAGCAACGTGACCGTTGTGCCCGATGGTAAGTCCTGTGTTGCGGTCATCAGTTAAGTGATGAGCCTACGAGTCCATCCTCCCACAGAAAATTGAAAAATACCGTCTGAATACGTTCACAAGTCGATTGACTAAAATCTATAAGCCATAAACAATTCTTAAGTTTTTTTTGTATACCCCTGTCCAGAAACGTATACGGTCGCTCAAGCTGTAGATGCTTTTGGATTTGGCAGATTCCAAGTAAAGTTGTCGCTATTCACCGGACTTTGTTGGATGGCTGATAGTATGGAAACAACCATATTGAGCATTTTGTCACCCACTTTGCAATATGAATGGCAGATAACACATTTTCAGCAAGCATTAGCGACAACTGTGAGTTTAGTCTTGAGTTAAATTTATTTTGTAGTTAAATATTTTTTACATTCTTTTATATTCTGTTTTTGTACTTATATTTTTTCCCCTTTAATTATTTTTAGGTTGTTTTTATGGGCATGATGTTGAGTTTACCATTTTGGGGATGTTTCAGTGACAAGTTTGGCCGAAAGACAGTAAGCTTGTTAATTAGTTAATAGTAATAGTTTTTAGTCAGATGGATTAAATGATTATGTAGACCATAATGGACTGTGATTCATGGATCTACTCAATAATGACTAAAGATTGTTAAATATTTTTACTTCTTAAAACAATTTAAGAGTTAAATTTGTATTTAAATTAAATTTTACTAAATGAAAAATACTACAGATGTCATTTGGTCTCTTTTGAATTATAAACAAAAATGATTGAACATTTATATTGTTTTTTTGTGTTCTATACAGTGGAACCTCGATAACTCGAACTTCTATAAGTCGAATTTTCGATAACTCAAATTTTTTTTTCGCCCCCAACCGATTCGAGTTATCGAGGTTCCACTGTATTAATTTTAATAAAACTTATAGTAATTTTCTATATTTTACAGGCTTTAACACTTTGTTCAGTGTTATTATTTTACTTTGGCATTCTTAGTTCAATGTCACCTAACTATACATGGTTATTAATCTTACGTGGATTAGTTGGATTTGCCATTGGCTGTTCTCCTCAGTCGTATGTTAAAATAATAATGTTTTATAACAATTACAGTTTCATTTAGTAATATTATTTTGATGTATTTTGTTTGTGATGTATTGTGTATTTGCTAGTGTTACGTTATATGCAGAATTTTTACCTTGTAAACAACGAGCCAAATGTGTAGTTTTACTTGATGTAAGTTTAAGAATTAGTAATATCGAAATAGATAATAATATGTTTGTAGTCATTGCAATATATTATTACACATATATACATTATAAATTGAGGCGATACGAGGCCAATTTTTTTCATGATTATTACATATTATTTATGCTTTTAATATGTATTAAATTATGTATTCTCAACATACTATAGTAAAAACTTAACTCAGATCGCCTCGTAATTATAAGTACCTTATTAATAATGAATATTTTTGTTTCAATTTTTATTTAGTGTTTTTGGGCACTAGGAGCATGTTTCGAAGTTCTCTTAGCCCTAATAGTGATGCCCACATTAGGCTGGAAATGGCTTTTAGTACTGTCCACAGCACCGTTGCTTGGTTTCGCATGTGTGTGCCCGGTAATAAAACACCTAATAAACCCTTGTTGCATGTTCTATACTTTTATATCACAAAATCTAACACTTATTCAATATTAAATAGTTAAATCTTTGTGATATAGATCATTGATTCAAATTTAAGTTTAACAAATATGAATAATTAATACAATATTTAGTATTATGCTGTTTCATTCCTAATAATACACCATCATATTTTTAAATAGTTACAATTTTAGTTTTATATTTTTAATGATATTATTTCACATGTGCCTAACCTTGCAAAACATAATAAAAAAGCACTATTAAAATACATATTATTATGTCCTAACTACAAAAAAAAATAATTTATTTCTTTGATGGTAATTTTTATTATTCATATTTGCAAAGATGAAACAGTTTATGAATATTCCATAATACTTATTGGTTAAAATTTATAGTATATTATTTTGTTTTATGTATACAACTTATAGTCACTACTTTTCAAACACAAATTTGTTCTTAAAATTTCTAGTGGTTACCAGAATCAGCAAAATATCTAGTGACTAATGGTCAAACAGATAAGGCAATTGACACATTAAAAAAAGTTGCACATGATAATGGAAAACCGATGCTCTTGGGTAGATTAGTCGTTGACGATGTGGTTCTGGAAGAAAAACGTGGTCGTTTCACTGATCTTCTATTGCCACAACTCAGAGTTTCATCTATTTTACTCTGGTTTATTTGGTGATTCATTCAAACCATACACAAATTTTTTTGGTATTTTAATACTCAAATATATTGATTATAGGTTGGTGTGTGCATTTTGCTACTATGGCATTGTGTTGATGTCTACAGGACTATTTGAGAGCAATAACAATAATAGGACATGTTCATCAAATTTAGTCGGCGGAATTTTTAAAACCGTGCAATCTTGTACTGCCGAATCTCATTATTTAACAACTCGAGACTACATTGATCTTTTGTGGACAACACTTGCAGAATTTCCTGGTAATAATAGTAATCTTGAGAGTATATAAACTTTCATTTAACATGAAAAAATACACTTTGTTACAGGGATATTTGCCACCATTTTTGTGATTGATAGATTTGGTCGAAAGATTACATTGGTTTTTCAATTTACATTATTTGCTATTACATTAATTTTACTATTTCAATATGCTAAAAAGTAAGTTAGTTAAAAAAGCTTAATTATAAAACAATTAATTGTTGTACTTCAATTCACTTTTGTTTTTAGTCGCGTATTGTTGACAATCACATTGTTTTTGGCAAGAGGTATAATTGCAGGAGTGTTCCAAGCCATTTATGTATATACTCCAGAGGTGATTTTTAGAAATTTTTGTATCATAATATTTTTAAGTGATTTTTAGCAATTATTATGTTATATTGTTATATTTTTTTAGATTTTAATTGTTTATTTTTCCATAACTTTTTATTATAGGTTTATCCAACGCCATTAAGATCCATAGGGGTTGGAACTTGTAGTGCTATGGCTCGTCTAGGTGCTATGGTTACACCATACGTTGCTCAGGTATGTCTGACAATCAGAATACAATACAATTACCTGAATGTTCAGGTAAAATATTGAATAAATAATAATTAATTTTTTTTTATTAATATTTTAGGTATTGCTCAAGTCATCATTTAATACTTCAATAATCATTTACATTACAGCAGCTCTACTGGCCGCTATAGCAAGTTCATTATTACCAATAGAAACTAAAGGAAAGGACATGAAAGAAGAATATGTGGAAAAAGATTAATTTTAATTTTAAAACATTAATTTAATTTATCAGAAGTGTAATTTACCATTCACTGAGGGATTTTAATTAATATTATTATTTAAGTTATATTTATTTTTTATTACGAATAGTACTTTTAGTGGTGCTTAATGAAGCAATTATTATTTATTATTATGGAATTGGATGGGTCTAATACAAATTTTGATATTAATCTTAAAAACAAAAAATAACTGTACAAATTATAAAAAATCAATGTAGTAATAATCATTTTATCAACGGGGATTAATTGTCTTTCAATAGAAACAAATAGAATTATCATTCGTAAAATAGGATTGTTCCTAATTCACAAAACAAGAAAGGATATGAAGGGAAAGAAACCACATGAATTAATAACTGGAATTTTAACATTAAGTTTATATAATAGAACAAGTGAGTTGATTTGACTATCATATGAGTTTTGAAAAAAATGATAAGTTTGTTTAAACTTTTAACACTTAGAATTGGTTATTAAAAAGGACATAAATAAAATTTATAAACTAAGACTATTTAAAACTTTTGACTATCTATTCTTCATTCAAATTTAAAAGATTTTTAACTTTAATAAACAATAAAAACAATAATTATATAGATGGTTCATTTGATTAAAAAAAAAAAATGGGTATGATCTGATTGGTGCTTAACAAAAAAAAAAATTATCGCCGAGGTTCCTTCTTATAGTGAATAAATTATAATTTAATTATATAATCTTGTTTATTATGTATTACTCAACAAGACTTTCTACTAGATTTCAGGGTTATACCAATGGTGCTAAGATTCATTAAATAATAACAAAAATTATATTATTAGCATGTTTGCAAAAAAGATCATTATGGTTAAATTTGGCAACTATACATTTCAGTTCTTGTAAAAAATTCTGATTGAGCCATAATTTTTTAGTTAAATTATGACATAAGTTTAAAACCACAACTAGTATGGTAAACTACATATAATCTATATTTTATTTAACTTTAAAGACTGTTATGATTTTTTAGTTTGTTAAAAAAATATATGTCAAATTAATATTTATTTTGTAAAAAATTAAGCTAATTTTTTTTTTATTTGTTAATAAAAATGAGTATTGT